CATAAAATGGCCTGTTTCTAATTATCTGTTCATTTCAGTATTATCGTGTTTTGAATGATGCACAATCGCCGCTTTTGTTATCACTGTCATCGTATAACATCATTTGATGAGTGTTCGCCTTGATCAATTTCAACAATTTAGTTGTCATTGCTCTCTTCAGTTCACGATCACAATTGATCTGATCGGTTCAAATCCCAATATCCATTTGTTTATATCTCATTATATCATTCAGTTATTCATTTCCTTTCTATGTCTATGATTGTTTCATTTCCTGAACATTTCTACGAAAATCTTGCCAGATAAGCCACAGAGCGCTTGTTGTTGTTTATTGTTGTACGATGCTTCTTGTCATACACCGATTTCAGTCTTGCCGACTCAAGGTTTTCACTCTGTGAACTCTGTTTGCCGCTGTATTATCTCATCTGTTGCATTTGGTTTGATTGCATTACTTCGTTGTGTCCTCTGTCAAATAATTCTTTTACTGCATTTGTCATTTATTTTATCGACACTTTGTCATTTCACACTACTTGTTATATCTTCTTTAATCTTTTGTTCCGGATAATTACATAGATAAAGTAATAAACACTTCCTTGTGTATGATCAATGCAATCGAACGAGCAGCTCACCGAAGTTTTGTCCGGCTCGCCAGCGAGCTATAGGTTGTTAGCGTTTAATTTGAATGGCTCATCAAGTTTTAGTTGATCTTCCGAGAGTAATGGTTCATGGACATGTTATATACCATCTGGTAGATAAAACTGAGCCGTTTCGAAAAATACTGTGAAAGTGGATCGGAACGGGGCTGTTAAGGTGCGAGAGTTGTGCGGATTGTCGTAACAAATGAAGGAGGGGAGGGGAGGGAGGTATTCTACTGCCATATTCGCTAAGTGTTGAGGCAGTGGAGTGGAAATATGGGTCGGTGTTTTGTTTGTGGAATATCTGATAACGCAAACTTCTGCAAACAAGTTTATGCACAAAGATAAGTTCACTATTAGATGGATATAGTAGTTACAAACTCATTGAATATCTGCCGGTGACGGAATACTATTGGTACGGGACGGACATCAATTTGATGATCGCTGGTTTAGACTTTTAACAGTAGTAAATTAAGGTCCGGACGATGTTTTTGGATGGTAAAGATACGTTTCGTTGATGACTGAAAAACTAGTGGTAAGCTGATAATTGGATAATAGATACAAGCCGGATCATAACCTGGCTCAGGCTCATAACATTAATGATATTGGTACTCGGTTTCAAGCAAACTTTCCTTTCCGTTCGCGGAGGGAAAGTTAATTAATGTTAGATTAATTAATGTCAGATCAATCTTCTAAGTCAAAGAGAAAACTTGATTTATTTCGGTTTTACCGTGTTAAGATATTCTCACTCATTACAGCACTACTCGGGAACGTGATGAATTTTATGAATATTCTCACTTCAGCGGGATGATCGCTGAAAAATGTTTACAATGATCTTCAAACAGAAAGCTGAGGTTTCTAACAGAGTTTCCATGCGCTTTAAAACATATCTATTCAATTTCATTAACAAGATATCCATTATACCCTAATCACGCCTTATATGCGCAAGGGTTACTAAATTTCATTTAAATTCTCACTTCAGAGAGGTGATCTCTGAAAAAATACCTGGATTCAACACGATCTTCAAACTGGGAACGATCTTTGATGAAGCTTTTAATGTGTTAATGTAAACCAAAATTCACTACATTACATACGATTCATCATAAAATTTCTTTCGGAATATCTCAAATACCTTAATTATTTGACGATGCTTCAATCGCCTCAATCGTTCTTCTCCGCTCTTTTCCCATTATAACCGCTCATGCGCATTGCTATCTCTGCTTTGGTTCACGCTCATTTGCAGTTCGCCCCACACCATCGTTCCAATAAGCGAACGTCGTTAATTGCCACAATAATGTCACTTACCAATTCCATCGTAAACAAATTTGTAATTGGGCATCGAGAACGATCATACGAGATGACGTGAATGTTTGTTCATCAGGCACATATCTATGTCATAAATGTGGTTTTTGATACGAAACGAGACTGTGTGTTGTCATTCGATGTGTCTTTATTCGATGTGATTCGTATTCATTTTAGATTCATTCGAGAGGAGCGCAATCTCTTGGGTAAAATACAATGCCAATTATTGGTATTCGAAAAACTTTAATCGACAAGCACTTCGAGAAGGTTTATTGTAAGTTATTGGTTTCATTTAATTCGTTGGAATTATTCTTTTTTTGAAGTGATTTAGATTATTTAATGGATACACAAAGTTTTATGTTAATTTTGAATTAACATCATTTATGTTAATTGTGCGTATATTTTCAAATTGCAGCTGAAAAAGAATTCGATGAATTGTTATTCGATTATGGTCTCGAATTGGATGAAGTGGTCAGTATTTGTATTCTTCATCTCATTAGCTAACTTTTATTTTGTTGAGTTCAAGTAACTAAATATATTAAAGATAATGATAGTAAAATATATAATAGTAATGATAATAGTAATAAAATTTTGTAGACAAATGAACGAATAGCATTGGAAAAGGAACGAGGTGATAAAAAGAAGGTGAAGGCAGATGAAGGTGTGTGTGAAGAAGACGTCTATAAGATAGAACTACCTGCGAATCGATATGACCTGCTTTCGGTGGAAGGTCTTTCTCGTGCGCTGCGAGTATTTTTGAGCGAGTAAGTGTGGTTTTACTTTGAGATTTACACTCGTGATTATTTTTACTTTGTGATATTGCTATCATTAAGAGGGTGATCTTATATTCACCGTATTTATGGGAGAAGACCGAACTACACACCAACCCTAAGTTAGGGTTTAACCTGAATTCGGCTGAGCTTCATCACGGGGCATAAATTGAGTTTCACCCTGAGTCCACATTGAAGCCTGAAACGCGGAGCTGACGCTCACCCAAAGTTCGCGCTGAGGCTTGTACCGCTGAAAGATATTCTTTTCATAAACATATTAAATACAAGGTACCACGACTAGAGTATATTTTGATATAATGAAATTGCATATTTAGAATAAATCAACCGAAATACGAGTTGCTGAAAGGACGAAATAATAAGAATGAGATGATAGTCGTGAAAGCAGAAACCAAAGAAGTACGTCCGTATGTAGTTGGTGCAATATTAAGAAATGTGAAACTGGATCAAGATTCATATGCATCCTTTATTGACTTACAAGATAAACTCCATCAAAACATTTGTCGTAAAAGAACCTTAGTGGCGATTGGCACTCATGATCTGGATACCGTTCAAGGTTGTTTTCATTGTTGTATATTACTCTTCTACTTTATTGAATATTATTGTTATTACCGAATTATTATTGTACCTTACTGTTATACTTTATTACTGCGTTGTTATTATGATTGTAATTGTTTATATGTATTAACATTTTTTGTTATTGTTTCAGGACCATTTTACTATGGTGCAGAGAAACCAAATGAGATACGTTTCAAACCACTGAACGAAACGAAGGAATTTACTGCTGAGGAGTTGATGGTTCATTACTCGGTATGTTTATTGTACTTGTTGAATTGAATGGTGATGTTCTTATTGAAGTGTGTATGAATGAATAGAATTTGATTGATTGAGTGATTGTTCTGCAGTGATTATGAGTTAAATAATTTTACAGAACGAAAGTCATCTGAAGCCATACTTGCCGATTATTGCTGGTAAAGAGCGTTATCCAGTCATTAGAGACAGTAATGGTATTGTCTTGTCTATGCCACCAATTATCAACGGTTATTATTATTGTTATTTTTATCGATATTTTTGAATTTCAAAAAATTGTATTTGATATTGGCCACTATGAGAGAGTAGCCTTTGAATAGGTACGATTTCCAAATCATTAATCGACATCAGATTTATATAAAGTGAATGGTTCGATGCGGTATTGGTATTATTTTTGAAAAAGAATCTGAAGCAGGGAAGATTTTAATGATATTTGTGGTTTAGTTGGTGGTTTAAAACAGAAAATGATTTATTGTAATTAACAGTTGACTAAATGTGTGATATTTGCAGGTGAACATTCAAAAATTCATTTGGGTACACGTAATATATTCATCGAAGCCACAGCCACAGACCTGCAGAAGGCAGTGATCGTCTTAGATACGGTTGTTACGTTGTTCAGTCAGTATTGTGAGAAACCATTCACGTTGGTTCATTTGCTCTTATTAATGTTTCTTTTATTATTTCCATTATTATTGATGTTGTTGAAAGAGTTTTTAGAGGTTTATTGGATGAATGTGAGTGAGGATATTGGCATGTGATTTGATAGGTTATGATATTTGGTTAAAAATGTGATAAAATTGTTTAGAGTTGAAGCGGTCGATGTGAAGGACGTCAATGGAAACATTGTGCAATATCCGGTATGTTAAGAGTTCTTTATATAGTGATCTATATCTGTATTTTATTTGTTTAGCTTGTTGTTTATTCATTATTGTTCACATGAGTGTTGGGTCTGTAGTTCAAAATAACATATTGAATGATAACAATACATTAATTATTGCAGTCATTAATCATGGAAATATTATTGGCATCGCTGAAAATTGACAATATGAAACAGAATATTATCCAGTTGAGAGTGTTATTCTTATGAGATTAATTGTTACAGATATATTTTAATGTATGATTGAAGGAGTTAGCGTATCGTCATCAAGAGGTGAACGTTGCTCGAATCAACACGAAGATTGGACTGAAGTTGGATGCAAAGGAAATGTCACAACTTTTAACGAGAATGTCCTTAACGGCGAATGTCTCTGAGAAGGACAATCAAACCATCGACGTATGTCTTCTCTTCATCTAATACATTTTACGCATTTGTCAGATTCATTCACGTACACCTATTCTGCGCATACTTGATGCTTTGACACTGCCTTCACCGGCATAGTTCGATTCGATTGTAGTATTCGTTTCATGAAACATTTCATTGTTATTTCTTGATTGGTTCTAGGTGCACGAGTGCTGTTTTAATTATGATTGGTTCACTCATGATTAGGTTAACAATGCTAGTGATAATGATAGGAATACTCATAATAACAATGGTAACAGTAACAGTAATAATGATAATGATATTGATGAAAGTAAAGGTGATAGTGCCACCGACCCGACACGATATATTACACGAATGTGATATTGCCGAGGATGTGGCGATAGCGTATGGTTTCAACAGAATCCAGCACCAACTTCCAAAAGAGCACACCATCGCGGAAGCGTTTGATTTGAATAAACTTTCGGATTTATTACGCCAAGAGGTCGCTAACGCCGGATGGACAGAAGTTCTCAACTTCGCCCTGGTTCGTTTCAGCCACTCTTGTCCTTTTAGATGTCATTTATCGTCTGTAGTGACTGTTATTGTTCCTGTTTAATTGTCTGTTATTACTTGTTATTTAATTGTCTGTTATTACTTGTTGTTTGTTATTTAACATCTGTCGTAATTCATCGTCTGTCATAATTAGTTATTTGTTATTATTGTTAATTATTTGTTATTTGCTGTGTTGTACTGTCTGTTATTAAATGTCGTAACCGTTATTATTTCTGTGTTAATATCATAAAAACAAAACACAACCTTTGGTTTGTTTTCAGTGCAGTAGTGATGATGTTTCAACAAAGTTATGTAAAGCAGATGGTCTCGAATCAGCTGTAAAGATTGCGAATCCAAAAACCATCGAATTCCAGGTTTGTCTTGTCATTGCTATCATTATCATTAATATTACCATTATAATCATTATCATAGACACTTCTAAATATGAAATCAATGAGTCCATTCAGAAAGGAATTTCTTACGAACAGTGTTTATGTGATATGCGTACTGTCGTAGAGAAGATAGATTTTAAGAGAAAGGTTCATAGTAGTATGTATTAATGCATTTTGTATTATTGTTCAGGTAGCTCGCACCTCGCTATTTCCTGGTCTATTGAAGACAATCGCGTCAAACAAAGATATGCCGTTACCTTTGAAATTGTTCGAACTGCAGGATATTGTTATTAAAGATAAGAATTCAGGTTTGTCTTCTTGTATGTATTCGATTTGTTTTAAGTTCATGTCTTTTGTTTTAGTCTTTCTTGATTGTTTAAATAATTGAGTTAATGAATACGCTACCTGGATTAGCCAGGCTATCAAATGTTTGTAACGTTGCCGGCCACAGTGCGTTTCCATTCGGTCCTTGATCTTGCTTTCCATTGCCAGGTGTTACCCAATTTCTTTGTAATATCGTCTTTCCATCTTATTGGAGGTCTCCCCAGTGGTCTTTTTATTTCCCTTGAGTACCTCTTGATCATTGGATACATATGTATTGCTATTTATATGTATGTATAACGCGTAACAGGCAAATGCACAAACTCGTAAGTTATTCACTACCCTTAGCGTGAAGAAGAGGTGCAGACGATCTTCAGGTACCGCATATGGGTTTATTGAAATCAGCCTGGCTGCCTTATTATCAGTCAAAAGTAGGAGAGTGAATGAACATTGATATCATATAGCTGTCGAATAATTTTACCTTGATTTAGTCTGAAAATGGACAAATATTACAGAGGTGGGTGCGCGAAATGAGCGACGTTTAGCGGCGATATTTTATAGTAAATCGTCAGGATTTGAGAAGATCCATGGATTGGTGGATCGAGTGATGCAACTGTTGAGTGTGAAGTGGTTGGCGGGTGAGGACGGATATCGGTATGAACCAATTGAGGACACCACTTATTTGGATGGACGATGTGCTGCGATCATGATCGGATCGAAGGAGATCGGCAGGATGGGTGTACTAAATCCGGATGTTTTGAATGCATTCGCTCTGACATTACCAGTGTCTGCTTTCGAACTGAATATCGAACCGTTCTTATAACAGATATTATTTCTTATAAGAACTATAACAAATATTATTGTATGAGAAGAAGTAATTAGAAGTCTTCACTTATAAGAAGAAGTCTTCACTCGTATTTAACTTAACTCGCTTTCTGCTCGTACATAATGCAAATAAATATCAGTTGAGAGGTCAAAATGGAACGGTGAAATTAGTGATTATATGTGAAGGAATGTGCATATGATAGTGTGAGAGCTGAATTAGTGTGATTTCAAATTTATTCATATGATATAGCGCAACAGTAAGCTCGGTGTTGTGTGCTTGTCTTTGTTATCTATTGATATTATCGTTATTGTTACAGTGAATTTCGTTGTTGAGTTGTTTTTGGTTATTAACAATAAATCATTTTGTTGTTTATCGTTGGCTTCTTTATCAATTCGGTTTGATTATCGCAATGGTCATACGATATCCCGTAATCGTTGGATGTTATCTTAATTGGTTTTGCTTTGTTCAGAAATTATTTTGAATTCATTTATTAAATTTTTTCGATCAATTTTTGGGCTGAAACAAATATTGCGGTTACGTTTTGTGTTGAGTTGTTCTGAAAATTATGAAATTGTTTACGAATGCATTATGTATTTTGCGAGGAATTGAAATGTGAAAAGGTTTGGATCCTTTATAATTTTATGTAATGTAACAGAAATGTTTTTCGAAAACAACTTACTGTGGTGTGCAGTAGAATATTTCAAATTAGTCTTTGATGTTTTCGAAATTATTGCAGTTGCATTATTTTTATAATTTGCTGCTCAATACGACTTTTATTATTGAAAATATTGTTGCAGAGGGCAAGCGGAAGAGAAACGAATAGTAAAAGATGTATATGGACTGTTTGTTGATAATTTTTATCGCGGTTTGTACAGCATTGGTGGGTGAGGCGTTAACGTATATATTGGTTTATAGAAGTGATCAGTACAAACGACTGAAGAATGAAATGGAACGAAAAACAAAGAAATTGGAAAGGAAGGTAATTAATGTTACGGGATTTTCATTCGAGTGTTAATGATTACCTGGACTGGCCAGGCTATCAAACGTTTGTAACGTTACTGGCCACAATGCTCGCAATGTTTCCGTGCACATTGTTTTAGCCTCAATTTACGCCAACCCACTGGCTAGGCGAGCAGGCCAACTGAACACAACCGAGTAATTAATTAGTTGCCGTGAATACTTTGCATAATTAATCGTAACCAAATATCAATCCAATAGATAATCATAACTCTAATAAAATAAATATTCCACCGATCGCTCACAGCGATTGACAAAACAATCACTCCATGTCCGAGTAACAATAATAATTCAAATGGTAATGAGAATGATGGTAATGAGATAATAAACTGCAGAAGGAGACGACAGCAGAAGCTGATCGACTGGCCAAAAGAAAGATCGAACGTGAAGAGGAGCGACTGAAGGCGACCAATCGAGACATGAGTATGTTCAAGATGAAGAGTATGCTCGCCATCGGCTTCGCATTCACGGCTTTGCTATCGACATTTTCATCACTCTTCGAAGGTCGTGTTGTGGCCAAATTACCGTTTACGCCGATATCTTGGATACAAGGCTTATCGCATCGGTATGATCGCTTTCTGCTAACGTTAAACGTTTCCTATTCTCCAGTCAACTCAAATTTCATTCGTATCAGTGTGTTCCTTCGATTCAGTTCAGTTCATAGTTATTGTGAATAATTTGTTTCCCATAAAGATTTTGAACAGTAAATTATATCTTTCTCATGAAATTGTAAAATGCCCACCGATTCCTCAACTGCTTAAGATAATTAGTGAGCAAAATTACTCATTCAATCACGCATTTGTCATAAATAAACATTTATCATTAAATTTATCGTAAATATTTTGAATATTTGATATCGTCAAGGGTGTTAACAGGCGATTTGAGACTATAACAATTTGACGTGTCAAATATCAGGCTACTATTCCTTATCCGTTGTAAATATCTTATCCCGAAAAGGAATTCCGTATCTCGAGGAAATTGTAAATGATCTTAAACTGTACGTAAACATTCAGAAACTTGTTGGGTGATGATCACACGGACTGTTCGTTCATCTTTCTCTACATCCTTTGCACGATGACAATCCGTCAGAATCTGCAGAAAGCACTCGGATTCGCACCGTCCCGAGCCATGAACCGACAGTCGCAACCGAATTTCTTTGGCACCTCCAATAATGTCTCTCCGAATTTCAGTTATTTACGTTGATTGTTTTCATCATTCTCCGGCTATTCCATCCCGTATCTTTATGTTTAACAGTTAATAGTTTCCCGTAAACACATCATAGTCTAATCTGTTATCATATTGTCATAGTTTTCATGATTGTTACGTTATCACCGTCACTGTTATTACCATTATTTTGATTATTTGATATCGTCAATTTCATGAAATAAAACTCAACAGGCGATTTGAGACTATAACAATTTGACATCTCCAAATATCATCTGGCTATTATTCCATATCGCGTTGCAAATACATTATCCCGAAAAGGATTCCTATATGTCAAGAAACTTGTAAATGAGATTTCTTTGTAACAGTGATGTAACAAAAAAAAATTTGTAACAAAAATTGTAAAATTTGTAACAAAAAACTCAACCGAAAACTAATGGTTAAGCGATCCTGCCTGCCTTCATAAGGCGTTCGAATTGAATTTAGTTCATTTCATTCTGGATCGATTCAGCATACGGCCTTCACTGAATAAATGAAACAAAAAATTTACTCTTCATCTCTCCAACAATAACCGAAATCACCAACAACAAACAACATTCGACTGAAATGTGGATAATTTTGACTATCACGCAAAAAATTTCCCTCCTTCCAATGCTTCCTTCTGATAACATATATCCACTGAATGTCATTCACTTGTGTTGAGTGACGATTATAATTGAAGTGCATTTCTATTTCCTTTTCGATAGATGAAAACTGAAATGTTGAATTTCGTTCAATGTCAGTACATTATTACTATTAACTATTCAATTATCGTATCTAAAAACGTTCCCATTCCATTGAATCAATCGTTTTTAACGTAATCACAGTAAGTTTCATATTTTTCATAAAATTTAGAAATGTTCACTGATTTCTCAACTTCCTAATAAGATAACTGATGAGTGAAATTATTCATCCGCTCACAAATAAATTGATGATCTCCGCTGAACAAATTAGCCAAAATGTAACAAGCCATGAATATAAGAAGCGATTTACAATTACAACAGTTTCACATCCAAAATATATCGATACTATTCCATATTGTGTTGTGAATATTATACCCCATCCCGAAAAGAATTTCTACACCTCGAGAAAATCAACTTGATACTACGGAAATAATAACATCGACAGTGATTACACTATATAAATATTTCAGATTTATTGTTGCCATTACACATGCATAGTAATATTTACAAGTATACGGTCGTCGCATACAAAAAAATTGATCACTGAATGAGAAAGCAAGAATATATCTTGAATGAACGAACGCACGATGGTTGCAGATCTACTGAACCAGAAAATCGACTACAGAAATAACATTATTGTCATACAAGCAACTACAGTTGTTTACTTACTTATTTATTTAATCAGCAAATCAAACTCATTACAAGTTTGATTTGCTGATTAAATAAATACATAACTAAACGCACGATGACATTTCAGCGACCCTGCCTTCATAAGGTGTCCGAATTGAATTGAATCCGAATCGATTCAGCATATGACCTTCAATGAACTACAGTTGATGTGATATAGTATGAAGAAACAAATCTGATACAAAATTAGCACAAAATATCCAGATATTTGACATTAATGCATGCAGTCGAGGTTGTTTTTACTGATATTCATTCGTATGTTGACGTTTGTTAGGTGATCGCAATTTGTTGTGATACAACGAAAAGACAGACATGAGGTTTGGGGGGAAAGAACAACATAAACATTCGGTAACTGATAAATATGATGATAACGATAACATGATGGAACTGATTATGGCACGTTAATAACCGCTAACAATAAGATTTACATACTTACACATGGATGTCTGCAAGCAATACGAGAGTAAAGGTATCTCGAAATATCGCTCATAAACCTCCTCATTAGTTAGGAACGATTCGCACAATCAACTTGATACAAAAACAATGAAACTACAAGCAGCTGGCATAGTTAGTGGATCTATTTGATCATGCTATTTGATAATCCGCATTGACCATATCACTGACCATACCAATCATTACGGTAATGACGAATGCATGGTTGAACGCGATATCGTTATGAATCATAATTGAGAAAATAATGAGAATTTGGCAAGTGTCGAAAACGAAATATATATATCACTGAAGATGAAAACAACGCAGAAAGCGGTAATCATTATTATGAAATGAATACAACTATCAAAACATAATGTAATAATGATACTGTTGAATTCAAAATAACAACTTTAACAATGATGACAGTCATTTCAGAAGTAATTGTATTTACGATTTCAGTCATTTCACTGATCTTGCGCCATTCCAATGTCACGTTCTATACTACATAAGTCTATGATATAGTCACGTCGTTATGTAGAAGATATAAATATTAACAACGTTCTACATTATTGGTTCCATTTTCATCAATGCATCTTCGAGAGTGGCGATTTCACCTGAAAACAAGCTGGGTTTATTTTTCGTCTGAATGTTCGCGAAATATTTCAAATTAACATTGATAAATACGCATACTCGGATTCAAAATGCTTACAATTAATACTCTGTACTGATTTATAATGTTCCGCAAGAAAGTCATTTGAACATGAATGTGAAATATTCAAAGTAAGAAGACAATTCAGTATATACTGAATTGTTTCTGAATCGTTTCATTCAAACGATTCAGTACAATCGAACCAAACGAAAAATGAAATCAACATCAAAAACCTTTAATATCTCGTACAAGTCTTCGTACTGTCGATATCTTATCAAGCATCTCAATTCGTTGAGTATACGCATCGTAACGCACTTGGAACGGACGTTCAATCGTGGCTGCCCATGCTCTGTAAAGTTTTTTCAGCTCATGAAACGTGAGTGATATATTCATCTCAAATATCATTCACCAACATTTCAAAAAGCGATTATTCATTACGAGAATCGTTACTAACGTTAATTTAGCCCTTGCATCTGCAAAAGAATTTGCCACAAAGTATTTCGGTTGATAGCTCGTAATCGGATATTTGGTCACGGATGTTACGGCTGGCTCGAACGGTGCGATTTCCGGCTGCAAATACGCATTTCAGAACCGTCAGCAAAACTTTTTGTTCATCCAATTTCCTCTTAATGAACATTCAAGCGAGTCAGAGTTCCACTTTAACAGATCACAACCATTAGTACGCATCTATTGAAAATTTTCATCAAAAAAAATGTCTGAAGGGCATGAGTTTTCAAGGAGAATTCGAAACTTCAATCCGAAATCGATAAAATTTCAATTTCAGCTGTAATTTCCAACTTCAAGGCAATAAAAGTTTCGAAAGGAAACTGCAAATTTCAATTCCAGCCTCAAATCAGAAAAGATTTACGATTAGTGAAAAAGCAACAGTCAAATAACAAACCTTATCAGAGAGTGCATACTGCAACTCCCCAAATGAACTCAGCAAACCCGCACCAAAAGCTTTCCGTTCGCCGTGTTGTAAGCAAACTCCGAATTCCACAGTGAACCAATACAACTGAATTTTCTCAATTTATGATCAGCTTCGAATATGTCAATAAACAAATTCACATAAATATTCTCTATAAACATGACAAATCTTCGCATGGTTGTTTCTTCAATATTATCCAGTAAATTTTTCATATTAACGGCCTTATAAGAACAAATCAAACGAGCAAATTACCGTTGCCAACTTCTCAATAACCTCATCGGATGCACCCAACGACGCTAAACCGATCTCTTGTGAGAACTGCGCAAAACCCACATCAGCAAACAATGGGACATGACCGAGGAGTTCATGACAGATATCACTGTAAGTAGAACATTACCTAGATTGTTATTATACCATTGATCAGTCTATCATTTGTTTGTTTGTAGGCATTGGCTGATCAAAAAGCCTTTATCAGTACTTTAGAAAATACTGCATTTTAGGTGGAAAATAAGTTCCGTTGTAACCATGAACATTCAAAAAACAACCATGGTGATGGCTGAATATCAAATATACTTATTGCTGCATATCAAATGTATCAGTACTTATCAAATATACTCAAATATATTGCATAAACTTATTGCTTCATCTAATAATTTGATCGATTCTTATCGTGATTATGATTGCTGAATCAAATAGCTGCGATCCTATTGTAATCTTATCTTCTTTTTATGATATCTGCTTAATCGTATGCAATTTTTGGTCGCATATCACAAGATCTATTGCAAATCTATGCATCAAAAGTAATGACACGAATAAAACCGAACGGTTCAGGTGTATAGTTGGGCACAGATGAATGTCGGATATACTGTGTCGAGTGAAACACTCGGAAAGCGAGACCGGCCAAAAAATCGCGTGAACTCAACAAACCAGCAACCGGACGTAACGTGAAGCCGGTACAACCTCGAATAAAGAATAAATTTCTGAAGGAATTAAAAATTAATATCCTTCATTTGCTTTTTATCGCTGACATCGTCGCTATCAATTACATCGCATCTCATGCTTCTCCAGTTTTATGCTATCACCGTAAGATAAGAGTTTTTTGTAAAACATGTCAAGATCAATCATATAAAAGGTGACCAAATACGCAGTAGCGCGTTATCGCTATTCAGCGAAACATAGCAATGCAGCTATTCGGAATAGCTATTCGCTACTAGCCAAATAAATATTCCGCTAATTCGCTGTGTTTGGAGCAATCAATCATATAAATGGTGATCACAGATGATCAGTAGCGCACTATCGCTATTCAGCGAAACATAGCGATTCGCTACTGGCCAAATATCTATTCCACTAGTTCATTGTGTTTCGAAACTGAAACATCGTAAAATAACATTTTGGATTTCAAATTCTTCGAACATGATAATATGAACTCACTCTTCAAAAAGTCCGAAACTTCCTGCAATTGTGGAATTTTATCCGGCCCATAGCCACAATTTTGCTGCAGCAATGGAAATATGTAGTTGAATTCAGCACAAGCGTGTGATGGATAGAGTTGTGTCAGTTCATTGTATACTATACGCCATGTGTTGATTTCCTCGTCTGTATATTCAACTGTCGGAATTTTCTCACCACTAAACTTTCAGAAACATAAACTCCAACTTCAAACAAACTCTGAACCTCAGAAGACGTTGAATCTGAAGTTACTGATGACCTCTCAAATTCTGTCAGGCTATATAAATATAAACTTGCAAACCCTTATGGGGTTTATCCTTATCATTAATCCTTATCAAACCTTATCAATATCCTTATCAATCCTTATCAAATTCATATAAAATCACGAATCCTTATCGAACCATAAGAATGATTCATGTAAAATTAAACTTATCTCAGATACCATAAAAATGTTTTCAATAGTCATCTTTGTTCATTTTACGGCTATACTTGCTGTATTTGTTTTGTTCTAGAGATTTCATTTGGTAACATGGTCAATTCACTGATACATTCTCAATCGTAATATTCAATCAAAGATATAAAATGAAAAAACAAACTGCTTGTAATTGAAGGCAATATCAGCGAAATGTTTGCGTCTAGCACGATATACAGGATCTTTAAAGCCCTGCAAAACGCCAGCTTACAATATCGCTTCTTAGCCTATGAAGCAATCTAATTAATCGATTTCTTTGATTCTTCAGTCTGATTCATAATCATACTTTTTTGGCTTGCAAGTTTCAGCAATGTATTCCGTCCCAATTCAAATGCATACTAAAAATTTTCGTCATGTGCGAAAAAAGATCAACAGAGTCTTTATAACTCTCAAATTGAATCGTTTTTCATTCAAATTGCTCTAGCCAAAAGCCGAAAACTCGTCAGTCTTCAATAGAAACTCTTCGAAACTTCGCTGAAAAATTCTCAAAAGAAAATAAATAGCAAATTACTGGATGGTCAGCATCCAGGTCTGCACCATAACTCAGAACGCGATTCGCAAATTTGTCGATGTCGGAGATTTTTGCCGGAAACCATGGCACAGATTCTGGAATACGTTTATTGTCAAATGTTTTCAACTCATTAAAACTTTTCCACTCAATTGACTTATCAACACGGTTTCATACAAATTTCGTTGAATCTTATGATTAATTTTCGTTTCTTGAATAAATAATCTAAATTGAAAGTCCCATTTGAAGAAGATTTTAAACTTGGCGAATGAAAACAAATATGGTAGTGATAATAACAGTGATAATGATAATAATCATCGTCACTGTAATGATACTAAAAACCAATAGGAAAACAAGATCTATAATCGAAGATCACACCATACATATTAAATGGACACATTCCACTCATAAATCATTTTGTTTTGATTTCAATTCATATGTTGAAATGTAATGTACACGACCATAAGACATTCACACTGTACGCAGCAGTGTTTTGATGACATCATTTTACCGTTTCTGTTATCGAAAACGCATTCAAAAGTTGCATTTTTGCTGTGTGTTTACTTGAAATTTCATGTGGCCAAATCAAAAATCAAAAACCTTTATTTTGTTTCAGTGCCGAATTGTGGTCGTGTACGACCAGATTCGTCGTTTGTTTCTTCAGTCGGTTGATCACCTCTTCAATTGATTCTTTTCGTGCGTTCTCATCACATTCCACCAGAAACTCATAACATCCTTTACGCGTTCTCGACGGTCTCGATTCAATATGTGTCAAACTGACGTCGTTCTCCTGAATAACAAGCATCATAAGCAGCGTTTCTTGTCGGAACTCTGACTGTACACACGAATTCAACGTATAAGTTTCACAGCTGCGGATATTCTTCACTGTACTTGAAATTTCATATCGCATAATCAAAAATCAAGACTTCTCACAATCGAATTATCGGATTCCAGTAATGCAATCGAATTAAAACAAAAATTCACTATTGTTAAATGTAAATGATCGATGATGATTATGGTTTTGATTATGGCTTCGGATAAGATATTCCAATGAAGCTGGAATATCACTGAAGAAAATTCAATCAACCTGAAAAAGTTTCAACGTCTCGGCCAACGCTCCAGATTTCTCCCGAAGTGAGAATATCACCGTTGTTTGTTCGGCACAATGCGATTCGTCCACACCATTCACAGAACGGTCATCCGATGAACGCTTGAAAAAATAGTTTTTCAACATCAAAATCAAAAATATGGAGAATTTGATATCAAAACATCAAAATTTGATATCCCTTCAAAAAAAGACTTCAGTTCAGTCTCAAATTCTCTTTCGATTGATTGGACATTAAAAATTGAATGAAATGAAAATGCTTCAATACATTCCCATAGTTTCACAAATTAAAATGCAACGTAATAGGCACTGTTTGAGCTTTTGAGAAGTTACAAAAAGAATTTTTTCGAATAATTTCCCAGAATCTGATGAGTTAAGAGCAATTCACGTGCACATAAAATGCTTCAACTCGATCAAATTCCCCTTCGCTTCAATCATTCAATCAATCAATTACTTTCTCTAATACCTTGAAATATCTTGGCCAATAATCGAACAATAATTCGTCAGTTAGCGATGACTGATCTCTACTGCTCACTACTGGAGGCATTTTTCAGTTCGATCTCTTGAGTTGGATGTTTACTAATAGAATTTGATGAAGGAACAAAATCACAATCCTCCGTCAGCGATTAGCAAAAAATCTTGCAAAAACTTCGTGAAACCAATAGGATGAATCCAAAATCAGACTGATAATCGACTCAAATCAGAGTCGAATGCTGTCAGATCAGCTCTTATTGGAACAAAATACTCGAACAGAGCAGATGATCACTGGTATATGAACTTTAGATGAACAGAAGAACTTCAAGCGGACATCTTAGAAATTTCACTGATCAATTTACGGCATTAACTGATCGAAATTCATGAGCGCCACTCTTTTTTAAGCAATACTGTTCCCTATTCAAAACCTGCCTGCGTAACCTGTTTTCGCCTCTTCTCACGTGCTAAGGCAATCTTGACAATATCGTTATCATTATCATTATTATGATTGTATTGACAGTACGTTGTCACACCGCCTCTACAAAATGACTGACATCTGTCACAAATCGTTGGAATGAAAAAATGAAAATAAGAGGAATGAATATTACGTGTTTCTCAACGTAACAATGCAACAAAACACACCCAAAACCTCGCAAGAGTTGCAAATCTATTTTGGTTTTTCAACCTTGACAATTAAAACCTTGTCTTCAAAAACTCCTCATAAGTTTCACATTTCATGCGATATTTCAATGCGTTTGAACTCATGAATAGAGCAAACTACTAAAAGAATAATAGAACAAACGAAAACTTCATAAGATTAAAACCAACACGTTTATCCGACATTTTCTTCGTACCGTTGTAGATCAATGATACCCAAAAGCTGTATAAGCGGTAAAAGCTCAGTATCGATAATCAATCAGTATCGATTCGATGGATAAGTGAGTACCGATAGCAGGTCGTTTACATCTACTGTAAATTGATCCTTATACTTCCATATCACGCTTTTTGATAGCTGATGGATGATTTGTTAACTGATAACAAACACCACTATAAATACTCACAGCGTTAACACCTCTGAATCCCTACTATCCCATTAAACAGCTGATAATCTTCAAAGAATTAACAGGTGATTTCGTGTTCCTTCCATCCCATAAACAATAAATGGAGGAGAGACGCTGAACTCAGGCAGGTCAACTTTAAAGGAACTAACCAAGTCCGTGATAAAAATCGAAGAATCTAAACAAATTACGTCAGTATAATCCTAGTAAATATGAATTCCTATAATATTATCTAATTATAAGGTTGCAACAATGATAATCTCCACTAAATCGGACAACTCAGCAAAATGAACTGAGCAGACAATGTTGTATCAAATGGATCTCAACGGTAGAGATGTAAAATCAATTCCGTATTTACTAAACCTGCTCGATGAATTTCTATTAACCAAATTCATTAACGTCGTATCACTGTCACCGAATTCCTTCTCATTACTATCTTTTCAACTTGAAATATCGCATGCAAAACATACATCATATTTCCCTACCATTTCAGTCAACTACATATCCCAAATACCTTCTCATTCTCGGGAATGAATTTTAACTCGAGACTGTATCCCAAGAAAACTCCAAGATTTACTCTCGAATTAAATTTTCTGACTTTTACTCCATGAAATAATCAACAGCACTTACAACATTCCATACCTTCATTCTTTTTCATTGATTACATCACGGAGTGTCCATTATTGTCAGATATATAGCTTTTATTTTCTCATTAAGTACCACACCATATCAGGTCATCACGGGTCTATCGACATCACCCATTGTATTCCCACTGACTTGTGCTCCAAAAAGAATAGGTTCTGCCATTTGAACACATTCGACGTTCAAGTTCTCCGCTTCAATCTAACAAATATAATATTTTCTTAAATGGTGAACACTACTCATAATAAAGAGGCAATCTAATAAAGTGCATGAATACTTTTTCGGAAAACAAATCTAATGAAATGTGAAAACTTTTGCCAAAGTTGAAACCGTCAATCCATATTCAACTAATCGCTAATGATGTTATTTACTCATTTTTAATTTTTCATAATATTTACTTCAAATTAACGACATGGAATGATCACATGATTACATTCATTATCATCATCCTTATGCAATTTCTAACGACAGTGTTGCATCATCTGATGCAACAAACTGGAACACTCTACGAGAATGTAATTATCGCTCAACTGTACATCAGTGATCAAAATTTTAGAAGTAAGAGCAAATTACACAGGAAAATAATGAATGCTTTGCCTTGTTTTAGAATTTCCTATCCATTAAATGTCAAGTTCCTCTACTTTTTATGACCAAAGAAGGTTCGTACTTAAAAAGAGCACTTATGATAGAACCCGTTTGAATGAGTTTGTAATATTTTTATCAAAGCTATTTGCAATAATTATTGCACAGTCTCCTTGCATAGCAAATTCAAACTTTGTTGAGGATATTACCGTTATTCGACTGTAAATCAGTGATGAAAAATCCGAAATGAGCCGAACTGAACTGGAAAATAATGAATTTTTTCCTTTTTCTGAAAGAATTACTTTTGTTGAATTCGAAACTTCTTCATTCTTTACGACGAAAAATGATTCCTGCTTAAGAAGAGATAAAAACTATCTAAGAGATAGAAACATCGAATTGTTGCATAGTCTACTATCTAATTGTAAGAAGTGTTTAAAAAGGAATAAGAAAACAAACTGTTCTACTGATCACCTCGTTTATTATAATCAAATGTCACTATTAATATGAAATGACAAACGATATTTTATTATTAATTGTGAGAAAGAATTTGTTATGTATAATATTTTACACTGTTCTACTGCAACAACATTGAAGTGATATCAGCTGGATGTTAAAATTTTTGAGGATATCATTTCAATCTCTTCATGAATAATCACTTTTGATTGATACATAAAAGCGATATTTAAGTATAACGATAACAGTTCACATTAGAATATACATTGACAACGTTAGATTTGATTAGAATAATGCGTGGACATAGATAAATGCTTCTCGCTGATGATTACATTTCAAAGTGAACTTACAAAAGTTATTAAAGCAATATTAAAGAGTTAAAAATTATACGTTTGGTAATGCTGAGGCGTATTGTCTCGAAGTAATTCATGACTCGTTACCAATCTGATTTTGAAACGTACTCCAGTAAACTCATCAGCTTCAACTGGTAAACGAAAAAATTAAGTAACTCACGGTCAGTAATTTGATGCCAAGGATCATTTCAATGTTTACATGTGAATGAATTCACGACTTTAATATAATTTCATTCAAATACCAAATGAACTGAATTTTACGTATATGATAATCTCAGTGTAACTGAAACATGAATTTGATCATTGCACAATAATGAGAAGAATCTTACGTAAAATCATAAAGTGTCAAAACTAAGCCCTCTTGATTATCTCTTGAATGAGATCAAACTTTGTCAAAGATTTTGGACCGACGCGTTCTGAATCGAACTCACGCCTTCTGAACAGATCGGATCCTCAAAGACCAGCGTTACACCAATATACTATCGGCCCATTGCTCAATCATTTTTTTTTTGATTTAAGTTTGATTTAAGTACTATTATCTTTGTATGCTGGCTTTTTGCGCTAGTCGCGACTCATGACATAAAGTGATATAACTGTCGTCTTTATCCTTCAAGGTGATGAGGGTGGTATGATTATAGGTATGTTACGAAAACAATATCAGCATAATGAGCGTATCCATTATGAAATTAATGATTATGTTCACAACACAATCTAAGTAGTCATATCAGAGGTATGATTGCATTGACATCCCAATCAAGTGAACCTTATCATAAACAATGAAATCGCAGCTAATGTGTCCAATAAATTATGAAAGCCAACTCAAGACAATCTCGCCTCTCAGCCATCAATTCTATTGACATAAAATGATAACAATTCCAAAACAATACGCCACCATAATGATGAACGATATCAGATTATTAATCGCAATATGAATCTGCAACCAATCATTCTGATTGTCCTTCGTTGACGTTCCATCGGTTGCGATCACCGTACCAACTTCATTTCCACAGCATAGATTCGTGTTAAGCACCGATGCGAGAAGGGTATAGCGATGCGCTGAAAACACCATCAAACATATAAGTCCAAAATAACTTATGAACATTTTCCTTGTTATGACTAACATCGAATTGATAGTTCTGATAGCATTATCACTGTTATCATTGTTATCAACGAAGATACTGTTAGTTTTACTCTAACGACGAAAGCTTGAAGTTTATATTTCCCCAACTACTCCTGATATCATAGTAAGTCGAATGATCAGAGTTGATATCAAATCAAATTTCCTATATCTTCAAGAGCTAACAATAAGCAAATCGTAATCCCATGTTCAATTTTGATGTGCCAATTCTATAGGCAAACCCTTGTTTTTCTGATAACGTACAATTTTGGTTCTAATTTCAATCTGAAACATATAGTTAATACTCCTATAGATCACTTTACTTCTACGGAATTTTAGGATGAGAAGTTTCCCACAATACTATTCAGTTCTTTACTCAGCATTGCTAACATGTAACTGACGCAAACGTGGAAATTATTCTTTTAAAACTGTCTGAATAAATGACCTGGAGGCAGTTTGCGATGAATACGCGACATCGCACTGATAATCAACGTTATCAATAGACTAATCACTGTGGTTGCAAGTGTGAACACGTAGAACAGATCTGTAAATACGGATAAGAAAAATACAGTGAAAATATGTCACTGTATGGAACAAATGAGTGTTCCAATCGGATTATATTATTGGAACAAATGAACAAATAGCACGAGTGTTCAGTATGACACAAAATAGACCCGAAACGTCTTACATATATTCGGAATTGTGTTTCCGAAGCCAACTTGTGGAGTTTTTGAAGCCAAATTTGTGAAGCTGAGCAGTTGAATGAGTATGGCAAATAACTTGACGTTGATCTAAACAATTATCGTTATTATTATTGTTTTATAACAATCTGAGCTTTACTTGCCTCATTGTTATAAGCTTTAGACATGAATTTTATCAGTGCCACCCTATCCTTGTTAAATGTTCCCAAGTCTTTTAGCCTCCAAGTGATCGGTTCAATATTTCGACGAGAACAAGAAGCGGAATAATATTTAAGAAACCAATGCACCTGATCTTTCAAAGTGCCAAAGAATGGTGCTATGACAACCAATAGTGATGATACGACCATGGGGATTGTCAATTCGATTCGTAAGGTCATTGACTTTCGTTGAACTGCCAAACATATTTCCAGCACTTGTGCTCTGAAAATTCATAACTCTCATCAATTAAGACGAAAAAAAAGCGAATAATTTGCACACTTTAATTCGAACTGATTTAAATGTGACAATTAATCTGTTAATTATTGTTAATTGTTAATTAATTTGTTAATCGAATTAATTATTTTCATCGATATATTTGCAAACTAATTTGTTCAATTCAATTAATTAATCTGACACTCTACATATATCAGTGCACAGTTCGACCCGATGAATGAAGTCAAAAAACCGTAAAAATACTCAAAATTCGAAATGTATTCAACTGACTTCCTGTCATCCTCGTCTTGTTCCACATGTATCGATGCAGATTCAATATGCCAGTTAGTTCGCACCTTTGTTAGGTCAATGCCATCTGAAAATTCAAATAGTTCCCTGACTGATATAAAAATAACACTGATTCAAAATTCCTGGTATCATTCCCTTATATCAATGTACTGCTATAAAATATTGCTCCTACAAATGAATGAGAAACGATAATTTTTCAAAAATATCAATCATGATCAATGTATAGATCATCGCAAATGATTGATTCTGATAAACGTACGTTCGCCTCGCGACAGGAAGTATTTAATGTAGTGCGGATAGATTAGCGACTTCAGCGTGAAGCAACAATATTTTCGATCCTGAAATGAAACGGCGAGGTTAAAGGGAAACATGATGCTGATATCAACGGTTCGATAGAAACATTCTTAATTCACGTGATTGCAGACAACATTTAGACCAGGGGACCCATAGGGGGAGATTATCCATATTTGGATAATGTGAGGGCGTCAGGGGGCAATGGAGGGGATCGGGAAATTAATCCTGACGTTATGCGTGGAAACGGT